AAAAAAAAAAAAAAAAAAGGAAAAGGGAGAGATAAATATGAAATCGTTTCCAGGTTATACAATAATCTACATAGTAAAACCAACAAAATCAACAAACTATGAGAATGCATTCTAGAACTCAGAATAAGAGTTCAAATACAGTCTACATATTACATAAACATAAAAATTAATTCTCTTCCTCAGCAACAACCCAGCAATAAATACTAATAATCTAACAAAAACAGCATAAAGTATTTCAGAATTAACCTACTAAATAATGCACAACCTCTATGAAAAAAATTAAACCCTCTAAGACCTAATGATATTTAGAAAAAGAAATCCAGCTGGGCATGGTACATGTCTCCAGTCCCAGCTACTTGTGAGGCTAAGAAAGGAGGATCGCCTTAGTTCAGGAGTTAGCAGTTTTAATGTGCCATGATCGCTGCAGTAATTCGATGTGAAAGAAAAAAAAAAAAAAAAAAGAAAATTAAAAAAAAAAATAGTGCCATGATCACATCTGTTAATACAATTCAGCATGGGCAATATAGTAAGAATCCTTCTCTTTAAAAAAGAAGAGAATTCCAGCATTTTCATGCATAGGTGATAAAACAAGGCAAAGAACTTTCTCCTAAATTTATCATAAAAGTCAATGGAGTTCTAATAATCAAAATTCCAATCAAAGTTTTTGAGGACTTGACAAGTATATTTTAAAAATTCTTATCAAACAAAAACAGCCACAAGAAGGTAAGTGGATTTTAAAAAGAAAGACAAAGAGGATATCACCCCACATTTATAACATATATTATAAAGCCAAAATAATAAAGAGCATGTTATTAGAGCCGAAACGTAAAAGGATTTCAAACAACAGTAGATCCCTGCATAGATATTTAGTTGGTGATAGATGTACCATCACAAAGTAGGGAGAGGAGGATTTGTTATGACTTTGCTAGGATACACATTCTCTCACATAGATTCTTTCTAGTTTTTAGTCCAACCCATACAAATACAGCTATAACACTACCATTTTCAAAACTATCATATTAGTGAGACAATTTAATTGTCTTATTTTTTTCTTCCTCTTCTGTATTATTCCAAAAAAGACCTATTTGGGAAACTATCCCTTTGAGGGTTCTTCCTTTTGCAGCCTTCTTTCTCTCTGAGTTATTTATTTACTTATTTATTTAACAGACAAGATCCTGCTATGTCACCTAGGCTGGAATGCAGTGGTTCCATTATGGCTCACTGCAGCTTTGACCTCCTGGGCTCAAGTGATCCTCCCACCTTGGCCTCCCAAAATGCTGGGATTATAGGCAGAAGCAAACACACTGGGCCTGCTTTGTTTTCAATAGAAAGGTAAGTTACTTCACTGATATTTTCTCTAGGCTGCATAAAATAATTTTCATGTGTAAGAAGTAAACAATAGGTAAAATAAAAAGCAAAAGTAGAAAGAAACATAAAACACTGTTTTAAATCTAACCTTAAAATGTAAAAGTAGGACCTAAAATGATAAATATATATGTAAGGGTTACATATAGATAGGACATTAAAAATCCTGGGGAAAAAGAATTAAAATACCATCAGATAAAAGTTAAAGTATTAACGGATATTACTTACTGAAGTATCAGAGTAACCAGTCGAATAGCTTCCACAGCAACATCATATTCTTTATCAAGTGTCATTGACACAATGCGATCCTGAAAAAAAAAAAAAAGGCTGTAAAACAAACCAACTGGCCAGGCACGGTGGCTCATGCCTATAATCCCAGCACTTTGGGAGGCCACAGCAGGTGGATCACGAGGTCAGCCTGACCAACATGGTAAAACTCTGTCTCTACTAAAAACACAAAAATTAGCCGGACGAGGTGGTGCACACCTGTAATCCTAGCTACTCAGGAGGCTGAGGCAGGAGAATCGCTTGAACCAAGAGGTGCAAACTGCAATGAGTTGAGATCGTGCCATGCACTCCAGCCTGGGCGACAGAGCGAGACTCTGTCTTAAAAAAATCAAACCAACTATGAACGGAAAATAAGCTGGGACAGACCTAATATAATGTATTCTGGGATATATAGGCAATACTAGTGACGGCTTTAATAAAAAGCTTTACTCTTGAAACTGCATTATTGCAGTCCTACTCACATAAAGGGGATGTTAGTATAAATGTCTGTAATTTAAAATCTTTCTCAACAATGGCTATTCCCTAAAACCTGTGTCAGGTAACCCTTAACTTACAAAATTAGTATCTTTATAAAAAGCTGTAAAGAGGCTAAGGGCCTTTTTGGCCTTAGCCCACCTGTACCCAGGTGAAAAAAAAAAAAGGCTGTAAAGAAAATTTCAAGCGTTGAGCCTTCTTCCAAAGGCAATAAATAAGAACTCATGGTAACATCTTTTGTAAAGAGGAGAATCACTCATCTATTTCATATGGGTTTACTTAAAGAATATGTAGTAAAAGCAGGAGTCCCCATCCCTGGTCTGTAGCCTGTTAGGAACTGGGCCACACAGCAGCAGGTGAGTGGTGGGTGAGCAAGTGACCCAGTGAAGTTTTATCTGTATTTACAGATGTTCTCCATTATCCCATTACCGCGTGAGTGCCATCTCTTGTCACATCAGCAGTGTCATTAGATTCTCAACAGGAACAATAGGAACATGAACTCTACTGTGAACTGTGCATGCAAGGGATCTACATGATGTGTTCCTTGGGAGAATCTAATGCCTGATGATCTGCTACTATGTCCCATGTCCCATCTAGGGGTGAAGAAAGATAATAATAGATCAGCTACAGGAAAACAAGTTCAGGGCTGCAATGATTCTACATTATGGTGAGTTGTATAATTGTTTTACAATGTAATAAAAAAATAAAGTGCCTGATAAATGCAATGCAGCCTGAAACGATTCCCCTGATCCCCACCAAAGTCCATGGAAAAACTGTCTTCAATGAAACTGGTCCCCGGTGCCAAAAAGGTTGGGGACTGCTGTAGTAAAGAATATGAACTAAACACTTGTACTATAATATAATTTGCTAAACTAGCTATAAATAGCATTTGTAAAGAGAAAAATTAAGCTTATCATTCTTGATGCTTACCTTGAAACGGTTAGTGAATAGCTCCAACTTGGGGAATAATTCTCTATTGGTATATAGACTCTGTAGAGCTTTCAAACACTTCAGCCTGACTTCCCCTTGCTTCAGAAATACAAATAAAAACATAAGAGAAGCAGTCAATTCCATACTACAATTTTCAAGTCTATATAAAGACTAAAATAAAATTTAACCATTCAACTTACTACATATTGTAATTCAATATAGAATGTGACTGAGCAATTGTACAATCTGTGTTGCCCTTATGTTAAAAAAAAATGCACCGAAAACACCTTAGTTACATGAAAGCTATGTCTATTTCAAATATTTATCAACTCTGACTCAATGTGCAGTATATCCCACATCATCCAGAGACACATAGAGAGAATTTTAAACCAATGATTAGTTTCTATCCCCTTAAAGAGCTATGTGTTATAACAGTAGAAGTCCAAGTTCTGGAATCAGACACAACTAAATTTTAGTTCTACTTCCATATAATTTATTAGCTACATGCAAGATGTTAAGTACATTATTAATCACCCCGATACTCAGGTTTCTCATTTGTAAAATTATTATAGGGATTAAGTACAGAGATACGCTGGTAAAAATTTTAACAACCAGCTCTGAGGAATAGGTTCCGAATTGTTCTATTTGCAGATTTATTTAATGTAAATAGTGCCTTCATGTCCAATATTAAGCTACCAATAAGATGTCAATGAACCCATTTATAAAGAGAGATGCACAATCACTCTTTTGCAAGCTGATTCAAGCCTGTACTAGCATACCATGAGATGTGCTTTGAGATGATGTGATACTTGTTGGTAAGTCACTAGCACACAAGAGAAAGCTAAAGTACCTGTGGCAGATGCTGCTGATGCCCTACCCAGATCCCCTTTACTGGGCTAATTTTTCAGCGTCTGCTTGTGTTAACTGCCAACGGTTCAATATTTGTATGTTTCTCTGGAGAATGGACCACGGTTAACTAGAGCCACCTAGCACAAAGATCCCTAGGAGGTTTTATGATCCATCTTTCCTCTCCCATTCCACTCCCCTTCTCTCGCTCAGGTTGAGGCCCATGGCCAGTAAAGAAAGATATAAAGGTAAAACAGCCCAGCCTCCTTGCTTCTGGACAGGACACCCTCTAAGGTACAATTCACTCTCCAAAGCTCCCTGTGAGATCAGGCTGAGCTTAGACTTCTCCTGAAACCACATTTTTATAGTCTCTTTCCTGTTTTGTCATACTTTCCTCATTTTTTCATAGATTACTTTTTTTTTTTGAGGCAGAGTCTCACTGTGTCTCCCAGGCTGGAGTGCAGTGATGCAGATCTCAGCTGACTGCAAACTCTGCTTCCCAGGTTCAAGTGATTCTCTTGTCTCAGCCTCCTGGGTAGCTGAGATTACAGGTGCCTGGCACCACACCCAGCTAATTATTTTATTTTTAGTAGAGACAGGATTTTGCCATGTTGGCCAGGCTGGTCCCTAACTCCTGACCTCAGGTGATCCTCCTGTCTCGGCCTCGCAAAGTGCTGGAATTGCAGGCGTGAGTCATCGCACCCAGCCAATACATTACTCTTGAGAGTACAAACTTCAAAATACTACCAGCACAAAAATCCCTGACTCAGGCTTGGCATCTGGGGAATGTGACCTATGACAGCTGGAACCAAGAGCAGTCCAGGGAATGAGACTTCAACAATGGGATTTTGGAATTGGATTACTGAAGGCTAAATTGCTATGAGGTAAGTAAGACTCAATGGTTGTAGATGAAGTACTGATAGTTCCTAATGTAGGATAGCAGTTTGTTAGGATTTCCACTTTTAGTTGAAAGGGGATGTGCATTAACTTGCACAACATTTCTACACTGGAGGGAGCAGGGTGAAAAGTAACTGTAAGGACTGTGAAACTGAGTGGCTACTGCTAAGTGTTGCTAAAAGGCTAAAGAGAAAACGGCAGGGCCAGGCTGTTTCATCACCAGTTCAAACCAAGTGTTGCCTCTTTGAAAACATTTACCTCCTTTAGAGAACTGATGATACTAAAGACCAGGCCTAGCATTAAACTGTAAATGTGACAGAATTTAAGAACTCTGAATCCCAGGCAACTCTCTGATGCCAAAGTAAGAGTTATGATATGATAAAAGCAAAGTATAAAGGATATCTGTGTGGTTGCAGCGAGAATCTTGAACCCCCCATTTCCTCCAAATTTATAGGCCTGAAAATACGGCTCATGTCCCCTTGTTAGAGGATAGTATGTGTCCTCCTTACTCTAACCTTTGCTGAAAGACTTACAAGGAAGCCTCAAATAAGGTGGGTGACTAAAGGAAAATGCTAGTAGCCCTTGTCTTGATATACACAGACCTTCCTCCTGGCCATCAGACTAAGGACAAATCTCAGCACAGGCCAAATGGTGAATTTGGCTCCCAGTAGCAATGAAGATGTGAAGATCCCAGATAAGGTAGCTTCTCCTGATCATCACAGTCAATCGGGGTGGGAGCATAATAATTGTAATAGGTAATCATTGAAGGGCAGTCCATAGGGATCTATGAAACTGGCTCACTGAATATGGTATTCAAGGAGGCGAGATAGGTGGAAAGCAAACAAAAGTATTATGTAACATATATAATGAAAAGATCAACAATGGATGAGCAAAAAACTGAGGACAGTTGTTCCACTGGAAAGTTACCATAGGATCTTAATAATTAAATTAGGTGGTATCCACAAAAATACCTCAGAAAACCGTAAAATAACTTGTAATGAAAATGAAAACTCCAGTTGCTTTTATGGTAATTGCTCTATTTTGGGGCTCTAATATACTCTAACGTTGTTTCTATTACAGTACCTAAATGCCACATATGGCCAAATTCTAATAACTTATCACTCCTACCCATGGTCGTTCTAAGGATTACTTCTTTGGGACTCTATGTGGGATTCCTTTTAAAGTCAGAGGCTTTTATAACAGGTTAAAGGTAGAATTAGATTTTTAGATCAAATATTCTAAAATCCAACGAATCTCTTCAAGTCTGATAAAGGACTCTACTATGATATGGTCCTAAAAAATGTGAGAAAAAAAGCTTAATTTTTATATATTAAGAAAAAAATGTCCTTTGATTCTAAATTAGAAAAATAATATAACTGATAATATATTCTCTGAAAACTTTATATATATCAGGTGGTCAAACTTGGTTCAAGATAATATTGTTACTAAATAAAATAGGGTCTTCACCTGTGGGCAAATGCTTCAAGTTTCATCACAGTCATCAAGTAAATAGTTATTCAGCTACATCATCTTAAAATTTCCATGATTACAACTACTGAAAAATCAACTATTGTCATTTTGATTCCTAGCATTTTAGGACGGAGACAAGCATAACTTCTATCAAAGCTTAGAACAGAGTAACTTACCCTGTCATGAAGAGTCCAGCCAACATATTTTAGATAACTGTCATTTAGGAAGGCATCACTATACATTTTCATCCATACTCCAATTTCTTCAATACAAATGGCTCTAATCTCAGCAATAGCATCACTAGAGAGAGAGAGAAAAAAAAGAGAACTGCCAATCAATCCAACAAAGCTAGAATGCGTTCATACTCACTTTCCATAAGGAACAAATATTTCTAATGCTGTCTGTGTATGTTTACATTGTGAAAGGCCTCCAACTTAAGTATCTTCTGTTTTTCATGTTTTCTATAAAATAAACCCTACCAATAGCTTCTGTTTTTCATATGTTTTCTATAAAATAAACACTACCAATACCAAACTGAAAACAAAAACCTCTATGAAACTATTTTGACCCAATTACTCTATTTTCGCTGGGCTAGGCAATGACATTTGGAGCTTTCTGAGACCCTCACAACTATTACGGAGCCAAGAAACATGTTACAATTTTCTAAGCAAATCAGAGCAGCAACATCCAAATACTATCTTTTTTTTTGAAACAGAGTTTTGCTCTATCACCCAGGCTGGAATGCAGTGGCATGATCTTGGCTCACTGCAACCTCCACCTCCTGGGTTCAAGCAATTCTCCTGCTTCAGCCTCCCGAGTAGCTGGGATTACAGGCGCATGCCACCACACCCAGCTATTTTTTTTTTT